ATACTAAAATTAGGTAATAATTAATGCATGATAGGAAAAGATCACTAAAAATAATTTAAGTCTAATCTTATTTTATACATAAAGATATAGTATTGATACCATGTACAACATATTTTATTTGAAAGAACTATATTAATATATTATTAAATTTATATTATATTATTTGGCAGAATTATTAAATTATTAATTTATATTATACTATGTATAACCGGTATTATATCATTTGGCAAAATTATATTAAATTAGTAAATTAAATTATATTACACCATGTTCAACCGGCCTTAATTTTATTTATTCGACAAAATTATAAAAATAGTTAGTAAATTGGTTGATTCCATGCATAACCCATTTTATTTGGAAGAATTTGGAAGAATCGGAAAGAAATTAGATATAAATCTTAGCATGAGATATTTAAGGGAGTAAATTGTTTGTTTCCATGCGATTATTAAGGAAGTTCTTTGCATCATTAATGTTAGATATTTTTTTTGATAAAGAATTACTATAAATAAGGTGTATTTAATGCTAATGGCGGGAAAAAGTTTCTAAAAGTGAATTATGTTAATCCTTATTATATATTAGTAGATTGTACTAGTACGGTATCCGTGCGATGCACGGGAACATTTATTATCTATTTGCTTTTTTAAAGATATTTTTGTATTTAAATTGTCACACGGCATTAAAAATATCATGAAATTGAAATTTATATGTTATTAAACACTTTCTTATGTACAACATTATTGGTTTGATTCTTTGTCACGTAAAGTATTACATAGGTGTTCGAATTTTATCTAAAATTGCATATTATAGTTATTAGTTAATACATTCTAAAAAAATTAAAGAATCTTACTTATTAAACAAAATTATAGTAGAAAAAAAAAGTAGAAATTTTTAAAGATTTTCGCCCATTATTTATTTTAAATATAATTTTAAATTTCAGTTAAGATCAATTGAAAAGAATCATTAGTTACTCTTGAAAATGAAACCGATTTTTCTAATATCAAACAAATTTATCCAAATATTTTTTTAAACCAAATAAAATAAATCATC